ATGCTGGCTTCGTAGAATGAGTTTGGGAGTTTGCCATACTCTTCTGTGTTATGGAATACTTTGTGGAGGATTGGTGTCAACTCTTTTTAGTGAAACTTTTTATCACCAAGCAGGCATCACATTCCTCAGTCTCCACAGAAAGGCCAATTTATTTCTTTATTTGAGTCCGTTACATATCACTTGGGGAAAGCTTTAAAAGAGCTCTACTTTTATTAATTGCTAGTTATTCTGTGTTGAATTATTTCAACATGTGCACTAGAAGCTACTTGTATGCTAGATATTTTGGTGTGTCATGCATTCATCCAACAAGTGAACACTGTATCAGGGACCATTTGGGGGACCCAAGAGTAAATGAGCCACACACAGTTTGTTGTTTCAAAAAATCCTTTGGAGAGACATTTATATAAATATGTAAATATTTAATATATGTTTCTACAGTAGAGTGATAAATATAATAAAAGTTCCACTGCCAAGGAAATTCTACTGCCCTTGACCCCACAGGACAAAATATCTTTCTCCCATAGAGCAGCTGGTGTTTGAACCACCAACCTGGCGGTTTATAGCCTAACATTTAACCCACCGCACCACAAAGATTTGTATAAATTATCAGGCTGTCCAGTCATCAGGAACTGGCATGGTGTGACGCTGTTGGGAAGTGGTGTGAGGCCGATTCAGGAAAGATGGGATGCTTGCTTATTAAGGATGGAACAATAGGCTAAAGACAGAACGACCTTCTCATTTTATCACCCTGCTATTTGATCACTTCCCCACCACCCCAGTTTTTAATTTAAATGTTATGTTGGGTGTTGAGGCTCTTGCTAGGGTTGAGACTGAAAACGACCTGTCACAAGTGTCAGCACCAGAGTGTAATGCCCTCCTGTACTTCACGTTTCCCTGCGATGGCCTCAGGGAAAGTAATTCCACCAGCTCTCAAAATAATTACTTTTCAGAGCCTTTAAGAAATAAATTGTTGATTCGTGTAACCAATATCAATCAGTCAGTCAATAAAACAGTAGAAAAATCAGTTATCCCAGTAGAGGTTAGACATTGATATGTCAAATAAAGTGGTCCAATTTGATACAAATTATTACTAATCTTTAGATTCAAATTAGGGGCAGTAAGACTTGATGAGAGTGGATTTTAGGAGCCCCATTGTTTTGTGTTAGACATATAAATATCACTAAACTTAGATTGCTAAAACTCACTGCCGTGAATCGAACCGATTCCAACTCATAGTAAATCTTTACAGAATCAGACAGCCTCGGATTGGCTGGAGGTTTTGAACTCCCAAGCTTGTGGTTAGCAGTCCAACCTTCAACCAAGCCCGCCACAGTGCCATTTCAAAAAAAACTCAAACTCACTGCCATCCGATCCATTCGGACTCCTCAAAACCCCACAGGATAGGGTAGAATTGCCCACGTTGGTTTCCAAAGCCATAAGTCTTTACAGGAGCAGGAAATATCTTTCTCTTGTGGAATGGCTGGTGGGTTTGAGCCATGGACCTTGTCGTTAGCAATCTATTGCTTAAGCCATGGTGTCACCAGCGTTTCTAGGACCTCTAAAACATGAGTTAAAGTCTCAGCTCTGGAAATTGGATCTGCCACTTGCCCGTGCCACTTCTTTCCATTTTACAAATTAGCAAAGATCCCTGCTGCACAGAAAGTGCTAACTGTCTTGAGACTGCCATATGGATATACAGTAGACATTTTGTAATATATAAAGTAATAGACATTTAATGTATAGCTTTTATTATCTTTTAGGACTCTAATTAAAAGTGTAGGAATGCAACGTGGATAACCATTTGGTTTGTTCCTTCCCTTCCTCCCAGGCTGTGCTCCAGTGCCTGCTGGATTTATTCCCCATCCTGGAGAAAGGCCTGCAGTGGAAGGGGGATACCACACGTCCCACCACACAGTGTGACGAGGTCCTGCAACTGGTGCTGACCCACATGGAGCCAGAGCACCGCCTGCTCTTACGGAGGACCTATGCCAGAAACCTACCAGCTTTCGTGAAGAGGTGAGGCCCTGTGCTGCCGGGCTGGACACTGTGTTTCAACCCGTAGTGTCACCTTTTTTCTTTCATCTTTTTTTTTTTTTTCTTTCATCTTTAGGTTGGGGATCCTGAGTGTCCGACACTTGAAAAGGCTGGAGCGAGTCATCATTGGTTATCTGGAGGTTTATGATGGACCTGAAGAAGAGGCTCGATTGAAGATCCTGGAGACCCTAAAACTTCTTATCCAGCACACGTGGCCCAGGTATAGCAGCCAAGTAGTTAAGTGTGCTGAAAGGGACAAAACTCCGCTGGTTTTATGTTCAAAAGGTGCCCAGATGTACATGCAATACAAAGAACCAAGAGCATGCTTATTTATCTCAATACCTTCTATTGTCACACATCTGGAGAGACCATGACATTGAAAAACTCAATCTGTAGTTGCGTCAGGTGCTCCTTATTTTGGCCCTTTCATCAGGCACTGGTTCCAGATTCTGACACTATAAAAATCAAGTATATCAACAAAAAAAAAATCAAGTATATCCCCAAGACTGGCTTAGATTGGTGTTCTAGATACTCTTTCATGTTCCATAGTTGGGGGAAAATGTTCTGTGGTGCAGTAAGCCCAGAAGTCGTACAGATCCCTAGATGCATAGTGCATATTAGACTATTAAGGGCCTTAGGAATACTGCAAATGCTTAACCTGTGAAACTCAGCTGAGAAAAAGAACACATCATAGCATATCCTTTAACATCTGCAGAGCAGTGTCCAGAACACTAATGCACAATATGCTTGCTTAAAAAGCATTCCATAGGTGTCAGCAATGATTAACGTCAGCCCAAACTACTAGTCAGCAAAAGGCTTTCTGTCATGAAAGAACTGAGAGTTTAATTCACTTTGTACCCCAGCAATATAGGTGTCTGTTCTGGGCCACCTTGTATCACTTTCCTAAAAATGTGAAAGTAGTCTAGTCTTCACCCATTACAGTTCTTTTTTAGTAGCTTAATGTTCCTGGAATTCTCCCAAATAGCACCTTTTTTGTAATTCGGCTGTGTTTACTATTAGTCTCTGTTTCTAAGCTGTGGGCTCCAGGAACATGGAAAACATCAGTCTCAAAACTGAAGCTTAGTGTCTGATAAGTACTCAATCTGATAAATACTATTTGAAGACATACTGGACTAGAACAGAGTGGATAGGACAAATGAGACAAAATTAAATTGATTTATGTCACTTCTCAAATGCAGAAACTCTCCAAGCAGAGGAACAGGTGAACAGACATAGGGTAGGAAATGGATGAAGCAGCCCTGGGCTGCAGTTGTTAAAGTGAACCCACCTGCCAGTCCATGGGAGAACGATGTGGCAGTGTGCTTCTGGGAAGACTGCAGCCTTAGAAACCCTACAGGGCAATTCTTCTTGGGCGTTGAGTCAGAATGGACTAGACTATACCATGTGCAGTCTGTGTGTAGGAGAAGGGAAAGGTATCTGACGGGTGTTCATTAACATCAGAACCACAGGAAACAACTCCGTGTCCTTTAGATGAAAACCCCTATCAGACGCCTGATGGGTGAGCTAGCATCTCAAATGAAATGACAGCAAACCTAGTGGATGTGTAAGCCCTAGAAGCCACACTTAACATCCTTCGTGTTGTTGTTTCTTTGGTTTGTTTTTATTTTTACCTTTTATTGTGAATTGGGTGAAGGTTTACAGATCAGTTTTCCACTCAATCCATACACCTTTGTTTCATTTCATTGAATGCAATCCTGAAAATTGTGTGCATGAACACTGTTTTCTTTTCATAGTCCAGGCAGCTTCCAGTTTCTGCAGCCACCCAATTAAACCCCATTTCTAAACAAGGCCACTTTTTCTTCTTCCAGGAAAGCCATGCCCAAATTGCGGGTGTCTCACCATGGCCTTTCCACACCTGTCTTTTCCCTGACACACAGCACCACCAGCGAGCTCCCGCAGAGGGTCATGGGGATGTCCATATCATATTTAACTTGCAGGCATTTGAGATGGTGTGTATATACAGGAAAAGCACTATGAGCTACCTCTTCTCTCAGCAAAGAGATATAGGTCCTTCGCAAGAACCGGGTTCTTCTGTCCTTAGCGAAGGGGCTGTTTCTTTGACTACAACGGAAACTTATGGATAGAACACATGGGCAGGCTGGAGTGTGTGTGCATAGGCAGCATGCTCTAAAAAAGCATAGGTGTCAGCTTAAATCTGGCGTCTGGTTCTGCTTCTAGTTCTGTGCTTTTAGTCACTTTGGCACAGGGCTTTCCACTGGTTCGTTTGGAGGCTTTCTGGTTATGAGTTAGATTATTGACATAGTTCTTTTTTTGATCCCAGGATTCCCTGCAGACTTGTAGTCTTACTGAAGGCACTCCTGAAACTGATATGTGATGTTGCAAGGGACCCAAACCTCACACCTGAGCCTGTGAAGACTGCTTTGCTAGCAGAGGCTACAAACTGCCTGATTCTCTTGGACCACTGCTCACAAGGGCAGGTGAAGGTAAGGGAGACCACTGACGCTGTTTCAGTTGGGTTTTGTTATCCTTAGACTTTTACGACAACAGATTACATACATGCCACACCCTGTCTGGAAAGAAGCCCTTAGCCTGTAATAGTTTGACCAATACCTTATTCTTGTAAAGCTATTCCAAACAGTTTAGACCAAAAGGCAAGAAAATCCCCAGATGTTTCTAGGATGAGGATAAAAGGGCAAAAACATGAGAATTACAATTTTATAAAATTTAAGTTCTAGTTTTCTGAATTTGAGTAAAAATTAGTAATGGGCTATAAGCCACCAATTACTATCACTAGTATTGAGTGCTTTAAAAGGATGGAACTTTCTATTGTCATAAGTATTTCCAATTTTGCTGGGAACATTGATTTTTTTTGGTAGATGCTTTTCCATACACTCCCACATTCCCCAAGACTTATAATTCTCAAAGCGTGTGATTAACAAACAGTTGCCTCAAATCTTACCCCCATTTAGAAATCTTCCATATAAAGTTATAAAGGCAGAATGAAAATAAGTTCATATACCAAAAGGGTGTAAAGTAGCATAGTTTTATTTTATTAGTTCATCTAAGTTCTCTAACCTTGAGTTGTCAAGCCGTGGATCCAACTTACTTTGCCCTTGGTTGGCATTACGCTGCTGCCGTTATGAACCAGGAAGGCATTTCTGAGCATGCTGGTGGTCTTAAAGGAGCAGCTTGATTATTCTGTGCACCAGCCGTGGTGTCATCCATTCACACACAGACCAAGGTACCAGGGAGAGAGGAAAACCGCATGAAAACAAACCAAAGACCGTTTGGCTTCATGTTTCAGGGTCTGCTGGCCAAAATCCCTCAAAGCTGTGAAGACAGGCTGGTGGTGAGCTGCATCCGAAATGTGCAGCAGGCCTCCTGAGCCACTCACTGATGACACTCGGCAAGGCTTGTACTGGCTCAGCTCCTGGCACAGGAGAGGGGCTTGCTTTTTTTGTATCTCATATTGTATGAGTGGTTATTTATGGAAAAACGTTTTTACACTAAACATGGTTATATTTTCTTTTATTTCCTTTGCCTCCATCGGCGAAGGGGAATGAAGGTAAGAAAAATCAAGTCCTGCCATTTCTAAATGAAAGCTTGTCACAGATGGGGAAACACGCCTGCACGTGCACAATGGAAACAAAGGTGGGTGTATGGTTGAAATTTATAATAATTCCATGCCCACCCCAAGAATTCATCTGTTAAGCTTCTTAGGCTCAAGCTGTTACAACACCACATATGCCAAAAATTCTATAAAAATATTCTGTTCATAATTTAAGGCTTCTTTCCACTTCCAGATTTCTTGCCCCAAGAAGTGACATAAATATTGAGAACACAAGTATGATGTGAAATACAACATAATAAAAAACTGGAGGTGAATATGTGTTTAAAATATCAAAAGGAGAAACGTTAAAAAATGTTCAGTCCTATTTCTAAATGAAGAGAAATCACGTGGCTTTGGCTTTGGCCATGGGCTCTGTCTCCTGCTCATACTCTATCTCCACATAGGCTCGTTTTCGCTGCAAAGGTCCTTTCAAGGGTGCTTTGCCTTTGTCTTTAGCATTGAGGGCCTTCTCTTCTTCACTGGAAGATTGATCCTCCTGTTCTTCATCGCTGCTGGCATTCAGCTTATCCATATCCTAGAATGGGGGGAGGAAACATAAGAGGAGAAAAAAGAATGGTGGATCAATCTACCAAAGTGCCTTTGTTCTAGGAATTTAGAACCAGCTGTCCCTGTTCAGAAGCCTATCCTGAAAGACTCCTTTTTTATTGTAGTTAATACATGGATCATATCATTGAAAATAGATCAATCACGTTAAGCAGAATTGTACAATTGCTACCACAATCAGATTTCAAATATTCCTTTTCTTCCTGGACCCCTTGACACCCCACCCCCACCAAAAACAAACAAACAAAAGATTCTACTTGCTGTCCCTATAGCTTTATCAATGCTAGGTTTCATATACCCAGACACAGAAAACCATACAGCACTTCAAGAGGGTGACCTCTAATAATATATGAACAAACAAAAGAAAAACACAGAAAATGTTGGAAAGGTTTTAACTGTTCCTTTGATCTTCTATACTATGATCTTCTATACTACTTTCTCCAATGCTCTGTTTAACAACCGCTTTCCTCCCATCCCTCAATTGTGTATAGAGGGAGTTCTCTGGAGGCTTCCCACAAGTGGATCTTGTGCTCCCATTGTCATCCAACGCCTTCTGAAAAATGGATTCTCACCATGACTGATACGACTCCTCCTTCAACTTTAGAGTATATGCTTTACAATCCTTCCATGACTGCCTTTAAGAACCCAAATGCTACTTTATCTGATAGCCAGGCACCATTACTGTCTTCACCACACTTTGCTATAGCACCCATACCTCTGTGTTCCCTTCCTGAGGGCGAGTATCGAGCAGGGCCATGATGGAAGAACTAATTCTCATGTTGGAGCTGGGAGTCAGTGCAGGTCAGGCTCTCTTACCCACAAAGCTTACCTCAAAGTCACTCAGGTCACTCTCATCTACTTCATCGTCTTCCACGAATTCTCTCTTTCCTACACCCTAAAGTGAAACACCACCGTTAGGTTCAACACACACAAGGAAAAGTAAGTGTAGCCATCTAGTTTTTTATCTTTGATATATAAGTACATGAAGGATATAAATAGTCAGCATCAGAGTCTATTATTTAGTTATTCCCAAAGCTATTCTTTCTGAATTAAGTCTCTAGAAATATTTAACAATTCTCAACTGATATAATTAGAAGTATAATGCCTTCATTGACTAAAATCAGTATGTAAAAAGGGGTATAAGGTAAATGGCCTGAGTGAACCATAAAATGAATGATTTATTTATTAGCTTTTCCTCAAATACTATTCAGATATCTCCCTAATTTAATAGGATTAAACTCCCTGTAAATGTGAAAACGTAAATTCCTTAGTGATGTACTTAAAATGATGCCAAAAAAATACGATTAGAGCTGTCAGTGCAGAAATAGTGTGTGGCTGAGCCTGGAGTAGGAAACATCCCCTGCGAAACCAAAGTAAGTCTCTCAACAGCACAATGCCCAAATCATGACTTGAGTTAGGGGACTGAAGATGGTATCACATCCCTCAGTTATATAAAAACTGACCTGGTCCTATGTCGGTCAAAGCAAAAACAAACAATGCTTACTTCATCCTCCTCCTCCTCTTCAGCATCGGAGGAGTCGTTCTCTGCATCCTGCTGTTCCAGGGCCTTGTCGAAGGCATGAATGGGGAAGTTGTAGATGTCGCCATACTGAGTAACACAAAACACACACAGGCTTGTTAATGATATTGAATATTATACTCCAAGGTCCACTGCCCAACATTTTTTGCCTCAATGGTTAAGTGAGAATACTTACTTAAGATAATGACAAACTAATTTATAAATTATCAAGAGTTCATGAAGGGGAGCAGGGAGGGAGGGGGGAAAATGAGCTGATGCCAGGGGCTTACGTGGAGAGCAAATGTTTTGAGAAAGATGAGGGTAACGATTGTACAAATATGCTTTATACAATTGATGTGTGTATGGATTGTGATGAGTTGTATGACCCCCAATAAAATGATTGAGATAATTATGGGCTATTACAGTAATAGGACTGTAACTGATGCATTCAAGAAGAGGTTGGGAGTACCAGGGAATCAATACATAGGCAGAGACCTTTGCATTTCCAAATATAGTATCCCCCCCAAAATAAAATGTGTGCCCCAAAGCTCTTAACTTTCTCACCGTCTCTTGCTTCAGTCTCTCCAGTAATTCCTTTTCAATGGCATTGTCCAGCTGAGCAGCTATTAATGCCTTTTCCTGTAAGAAACAAGGAGAAACCCATTGCCTTCATTTGTACTCATTTGTCTTCCTGCCTAAGTGGGAAGAAACTACCACGTTTATGTAAAAAAGATGTAATCATTTTTCTCTCCTTCTGTTAGAGCATCGATATTTTCCTATCTCTCAAACCTTCTCAAGAAACGTTCAATCTAAACATTCCTGTGGCTTTATAAGTTGCATCCTAAATTAAATTCATACCAAACTAATGGTTGATACACAAAGCATGGCAGTATATGTATATTTAAAGGCTCCCAAATTAGCACTCAAATGCCAGAATTTGTAAAAGCTGAGGAAAAGGGAGAAGACCTTTACTCAGAACCATGTTACAAAAAAACCTCTTCCTGTATGGCCCTCTCATAGAACAAGGTAGCCTGTTACCAGTGTATAACCCCCACAAGCAATGTCAATCTCCCTCTAAGGTTCTGCATTCACTTGACACGAGAAACCCAGGGAGGGAGTGGAAGCACTGCACAGTGAAGCTATGTTAGAGTGAGGAACAGGTGCTGCGTAGGGTAAATCACAAGCCTGAGACTGGAGGTGCATGGATCAGTAGAAAGCTTACTGTAATATTCGACAACACTTCACAGGTGAGTGAGCCAGAGATGCAGGAAACTAAGAAACTGTTCCATGAACACAAAGGATAGAAAAAGATACGTTTGGATGGGCTTACATCTATGTGACAGTTTCGAAAACAACGCATTTCCTATGAAAACTACAGTAACATACTTTTAAAATTTGGAAACAAAATGTTCTAGCTCACTTGAAAATCTCCTAAATCTAGATTTTTCAAAGGGCTTCCAATGCATTTGCTAAAACAATTTAATTTCTTCTGAAAGGTTTACAATACCCGTTGGATCATCAGGAAAGATTAAAATTCACTGGCTAGATTTTTTACCAAAACCTCTGCATGGTTGGCAGAGAATGAAAAAATATAAGTACTTAATACAAACTACCAACCCACAAAGTACTTCTCTGTGCATCTATGAAATACCTCCCAGGTATAAACTCGAGTTTATACTCGGCTAAGAGCCAGGCCTTAGTTTCACATCACCAACTATCAGACTTTCTCATATAAGCATTCATAAATTGTGTATATATATACACACACAATAACTCAAGCAGTATTCATATTGTGGAGTATATTTATTGATGGGATGAGTGGCAAAAATTTGCAGACCATGATATAAAATAAGGAATTCTTAGTGACTAACAAAATGACCAGGCAAATTAGCAACGCGGAAGCCAAATTCTATAAAAGATGAGGAAATGGAAGGCAGTCCTTACCAATTTACATTTTTCAGAACCATGTTAGATGGTGGAAGGGAGTTAAGTGGAGCAAGTACAAAGAAAGCACATCTGAACTCATAAGGAAGAACTAATATTGTGTCCAGAAGCATAAAATTCACTTAAGTTTAAGTCATAAGATAAAACCCACTGCCCTTCAGTTGACTCATCCACAGAGGCCCTATAGATCAGAATCGAACTGCCCCTTGGGGTTTCCATGGTTGTAATCTTTACAGGCCCAGACTGACACCCCTCCACTCCCCAATGGAGCCACCAGTGAGTTGCAACTGGCAAGCTTTCGGTTAGCAGCCAAGCACTCAACCACGGTGCCGCCAGAGCTCCCACCATCAGTGAGATGCCCAAGTGTAATTATCCAACCAGCAGGCCCTGGGACAAAGCTTTTCCATGAGTAGGACAATGAACCTGCAGTTTATTTCTAGGAATAAAACTGATTCCATCTAGTGTGACCATTCCTATATTTCACTGCAGAAATACTAATGTGTTGGATTATACACACCCTGCTGAAAGTAATACCTCACAAACAACATTGACAACAGTGAACACGCAACTATGAAACACCCGGCTTAAGAATTTCATACAAGGTGCTGTTGCTTTCTAAAATTTCCTTTGTCTTCATACTGCATAGCTTCCCAAGCATCGTCGTCTAACCAGTGCTCAATACAGGGAAAATGAGATCTCACTTTGTAGTGGTTACACAATGGGCTGCAAACCACCAGCCACTCTGTGGGAGACAGATGAGGCTCTACACTGGTTATAGCCTCGGAAACTCACAGCAGTTCCACCCTGTCCTATAGCATCACTATGAGTTGGAATGGACAGTGAGTTTGGGTTTTTTGGAGTTTCACGCAATACTGTTAACTACTATTGGTCCTACCAAGACAGCTCACATGCAGGGCAACCTTGTGTAGGAAACAGAATGCCTGCTCTTGTGGCAGGGCCTGCAAAGCTCACCGGCAATGGTGCCTGGACCTTTACCATGAAACCTTCCCATGATGAAAACACGTTAGTTATGACAGCATAAGTTCCTTACCTCTCGTCGTTTTTCCCTCCTCTCCACCTTCTTACTCAAAGGAACAAGTTTCTTCCTATGGGAAATAAAACATGATCAGTAAATCCATGCACATGTACTATCTATTTCTTTTAAAAGGGGGAGGGGGGGAACGGAATTGCTTTTGTGGGATTCAGCTCAATACAGCAAGATGATACTATTTTAAAATTTCTAAAATAAAATTCTCAGAAAAGGTAGACCCATGTACATATATTTTAATGTGGCTTTGTTCTCTCTGGGCATGCTGAGACTTCTAAGGTCATTTACTAGGCTGAGACTAATGTTTCAGGGAACTTTTTCTGAAAGAAAGGAATATTCTTTGAGAGACTGAAGTCTTGGCTTCTCTGCAGGTGACAATGAAACAAAGTATTAGGGCCCAATTATCCTGAAGAAGGTATTCTACATTGCTTTCTGAAATGTACAAGCAACTTAGAACACAGGTTTTCATTCTCACTTATTCACGTTGTTTTTGGTAATTTTCACATTCCTAAGAAGATGCTTTCCTCAAGGGCTATAAAGAAAGGTTTTTGAAGCCGATTTTTGGCAGGGAGCATACAGTCAACTTTGTACCATAATTTATTTATTTTTGATC